GCTCGCCTCGTCGTCGGGCTCCGACAAGGAAGACAATGGGAAGCCCCCGTCCTCCGCCCCGTCCCGGCCCAGACCCCCGCGGAGGAAGCGGAGAGAGTCCACCTCGGCCGAAGAGGACATCATTGATGGATTTGCCATGACCAGCTTTGTCACTTTTGAAGCCCTGGAGGTAAGGGGGGTCCCCTCCCCCTGGCTTTCCTTTATGCACGACCCCATTTCGCTGTGCCCGGCTCTGGAGCTTCACCCACTGTGCTCTGGCCGGTCTGTCTGTCTAGGCTGAGATCTTATTGTTGGGGGGGAGAACTGGGGGCGCGGACAGACAGGCGGCAGGAGGGCATCGCCAAGCCCTGCCTGGTCTCCGGGTCTCCTCTTTTTCGCTCGCCTTTCCCCTGCGCCCCCTCCCTGCGCCCCCTCCACAGCAGATGGGCATGGAGAAAGGGGTTCAGGCATCACAACAATGCGCCCCCCTCCACGGGTAGCTCTGCCCCTACTCCTTCCTCCTCTCCCTCCCCAATCATGGCTTCTTAGCTGGTGGAAGTCTCTTTGCTGGGTTTGGGGCGCCTGTGGACGGTTCTCTGTGTGCTTTCGACAGAGCCCTATGTGCTTGTGTGTGTGTGTGTCTGTGTAGTGTATACCTTTCCTGGGTGTCCTCGGAACTGGAGACTAACGGTGTTTTGTGGTTTCTCTGTCCCCTCTCGCTGCCTTTTTTTTTTCTTCTGGTGAAGCTGGGGAAGGGGGCGTTTTCTCCTGGTTGGGAGAAAGGAGGGAGGAGGGGAGAGCAGAGAGGAAAGGATGGAATATCTTTCTGTATTCCCCATGGGGCTCTGTTACAGAAAGGGTTAATTATAATATTTGTGCACATATATATGCACATATGTGTACATGAGCAATTTGGTTAAAGGACAGAAAAAGGTACACCAGGGACGACTGGTGGGAGGAAAGAATAAAATCCTAGCTGGTATCTGAAGGGCTTGTCACCCAATTGTCCCTCTCCCTTTGCTTGTGTGTGTGTGTGTGTGTGTGTGTGTTTTCTTTTCTCTCTTTTTTCTTTCTGATTGGCTTTGTGTGTGTATATATAAGTCTTTATTCCTTGGGTACCTGCAGTGTTGATTTCCAAACGCACATTTTGCTGCCCTCTAACCAGCTTCTGGGGAAGAGGGTGGGTAGTTAGAGGTAGACTGCCCAGGGGTCAGGGGGAAACAGTCTTTACCTGGATGAATCAGATTTGGTGCTGGTATGGGTCATTGGTCTCTATAAATGTAACCCCTTTTTCCCTCCCCCTGCCTTGCTTTCCCCACCCCCAACACACCACACACACAGGAGGCTTTGAGATTCTGCAGAGTTGGTCCGGCTTTGCTTAAGCACAAAATCAAGATAGTTGGTTTCTAGCCTTTCATGCACTTGGTATGGTTAAAGGTTCCTGAAGGAAACTTTTTCATTTCCCTTTGGTTTTGTGCTGTTATTATGGTATTATTTGAGATGATCAAATGCAAGCTTAGTTAATGACAGCTTAAATCTCACATGCAGTAACTGTACAGGTTGAGATTGCTGGTTCTCTCTGTGTGTTTGGGTGTCAGGTTTAATATATTTTTAAATGGAAGCCTTCCTTTGGGGTTGTTTTTTTCTATTTGAACTGCTTTTTGGTTGGGCTGCTGGTGGTGATGGTGGTGGTGGATGGTGGCCAGTGGTTGGGGAGGAAGGGAGGGTGGTTGGTGGTATTGGTGACCATAGATTTTGATGTTAGTGATTGAATTTGTTACCCTTTTGGTTCTAGAACCCGTGCTTTATTGGCTAAAATGGATTGTACACAATCGTTTTGAGTGTTGAGGCTCACCACTTATTAGGATAATTCTAACTGTGGCTTCAACTTTGCCAAGGTGGGAGGGTACTGTACAGTGTGACCTCTTTCTCTCTGTTTCTCTGTTGATTTAAAATAGGGATTGACATAGCAGCATGTATGCTAATAGAAAATGCTGCCTAGCATTTGGTTCATGATTGCTATGTGTGGTTAGTTTAGGACAGTACTTGTAAAATCTGGTTACAAGTGGTTCTGCTTTTTGCACGGTTATCCTGGGCTGCCCCGTGTCCCCTTTCAGTAAGCCAGAGGGGTCTGTAGTTTCCCATGAACACTTTTGAAGGCCAAGTAGAAATAGGTGTAATTTACGCAGTAGTTTTTAAAATCATTGTTACTTTTGATAAATATTTGCCTGGGCTTGTGATGTGTATATCTATTCATTTGGCATTTGAGAGAAAATGTGCCCTTCCAGTTTCTTTTGGGCTTGAAAAACTTTTAATTTTTAAAGAAGACCAAGTTCAAAGTGTACTGTTAACACCATTACCTTTCTTGCTGTGATTATCTTTTTTTTCCTGCTACTTTTCTCAATTCAAAATCCAGGTTATTTTTAGCTGAATACTATGCTACCTAAATATCTAAATACAATTTACACATCTGTGCGTGGGTCTAAATGGTCTAACATTTAAAAAAGTTTTCTTAAAACTTTATAGAAAATTTAAACATATACAAAAGTAGAGAGAACAGTTTGATAAACCCCAATGTACCCAACACCCAGGTCACCAACTGCCAGCTCATGTCTCATCTTGTTTCATCTGTATCCCATGTACTCGACCTCCCCTCCTGGATGTGATATGAGAAATATGTAAATATTTCTGTATGTATCTGGAAATGGTAATGACTTTAAAAAACACCAAACCCCCCACGGTACCATTATCACACCGAAATAAACGAGTTTCCTAATATCATCAACTATCCTGTCAGTGTTCACATGTAAAAGATCCAGCTTTTGTAGAAAAGCTGTAAATTTTTCAGTTTAAAAACAAAGTGGGGAATAAAAATAATGTATGTTTGGTTCTCTGGACAAAGGTAGATCTGTTTGCTGCACATTTGTGTCCAGGCTGGATGGTCAAACATACGTGTGCAGTGATCATGAAGATAAAACCTATGTATGTACTCATTTTGGAAGATTTACTCAACTATCACCATAAAATGTGAGGGCTTATTAGGAAACAGGCAACTAAACTATGAAGTTGGATAGAAATGTATGTGACAGAATTATTATAGATGCTAAGAGTACCCTAAATATATATTATTTTTTGTGTGCCTTGTGTTTAGAAATGAAAACAGTTGTCACCATGTAACATTGAGGCTGCTGCTAGTGTTGTGATAAGAAACCAGAAATATTGGCTTATACAGCTAGGCTTGTATCTCATGCCAGTTCAGAGCAATAGCTGGCAAACTGAAGTAGCATACTTTGGATGTTAATGGATGGACACATTGATTTTTGACTCCCTCTTTAAAAAAGAGGCTCCTGACTCAAAATGAAATGTGCTGATATAAGTTGTTCCAGTCCAACTGTGACTTTACTTTTGCTGGAGCAAAAGTAAGAAACTTGCCTAATGAGAACCGCATTTTTATGCTGATTGTTTTTTCACTGTTGGATATTTAAGATGATGAAAGCTTTGGGAGTAGTTTGAGAAGCCCACACTTTATAGGTAGTAAAACTGGCTGAGGTAGTTTCATATTCTGCAGGGACACTTGTCTTGAGTAATTGCACCCTGAAGTTCAAGGATGTGATTGTGAAGAGTCTCATGATAGAAGATAAGAGGGTAGGTGAGGAGGCTAAAGTTGATCATGGTGTTCTTTTCATTAGGCATTTGAGAAACAGGATTACCATTTGGATATGGCATTGTTTATTTGGATATTCTTTGAATAACAGGTTGAGAGTGAATATCCCCAGATGTCATGCCTCATTTAAAAAAAAAGTGGCTTCTAACAAAGTATAATGAAAATGTTGGGGTTCCAGTACTGTCAGTGTACCATGATATGCCAGATAATATTGCCTTTCTGTTCTTATTTGGGTTCCTTTCTGTGTAGTCTCAATTAGTAAGCCATGTGAGTGCTGCAGCTAAAATTTTGACTTTGCAAAATCATTATCACCCTCCACCCCCAACACACACACTCCTCTGTTGTGCACTGGATTTTTAAAGCATCCTCCTTTTGTACAATTGACCAAGGGAAGCAAAGATGAAATTGGTGGGATTAGCAGACAGGAGGCCAACTGGAGCTCTGCAGGCTTGTAAAAACTAAGGAAGACTCATTTCTGGTGGATACAGGATCAAACCAAGAATTTCATGTGGTCTTCATTTCCTCGCTCTGTTTCAGGGCTCCCCCTGAAACGCTACACATCGATAGTGTAAATAGGCTGTACAGAAGTTGTTGTACTTTTAGTATACCATGTTAATAGGCTTTAAAATTTATTATGGTCAAATATCATTTATTCAGTTGTTTAAAAAAACAACATTAACCATGTTCCTCATATCAGTCAGCAAATATTTATGGAGTGCCTGATATGTGCAAGGTATTAGAAAGAGTACAAAGAAACCTAAAATATATGTAGCATCTTGAAGGAGTGTACAGTTTAGCTGCTGACAAGTCCTGCACCTACAAAATTTTAAAATAGGCACTTGGATGCCTAATACCAACGACGTGCAATAGGCTTTCAGAGAATGGGGTAGTGAGTGCCATTGGCTAAAGTATTTGAGAAGGCTTCATGGAGAAGATGGAACCTAAAAGGTTGAAGGGATTTGGATAGATAGGGAAGGAATGTGGGATGGAAAGAGCATTCTAAGAAGAGGGAATAGTGAAGAAGGTGCAGAAAAAAGAGTGAGAAGATGCTATTTGATTAGGGCTTGGGGGCAAGGAAGGCCTGGTGGAAATAAGTCCAACATTATGGAAGTCAAGAGTGCTTGTTAGGGAGTCAGGAGACTAGTGGAGAAACATTCCAGGCTTGGCTGTCCTAACTGGTTGAGTCACTTTGGGAAGTTACTCTCTAAAAGTATCATTTTCAAAATCCATTAGTTGAGAGGTTTAGGCTAGTTCTAGAGCAAAGGTACCCATGCTGGATAGGAACACAGCTTTGCCAGGTGTTCAGAGGTTTTGTTTTAGAACAGAAAAATGTGATCTGCTCTCGAATAGTTTTGGAACTTGATGGACTAGACACAATTCAAGGGGTGACTTGTTAATGTCAGAATTAAGTCTTTTATTACGTGGATGCGAGTTTTGAATATCAGAGAAGGCCATGTGATGTGCCTTATTTCCTAAATTTATTTGACCACAGGACACTTTTATTGTTGGCATTAAAATCCATAATC